TTTTTTATTTCTTTTTTTTCATTTCCTTTTTTTAAATGGGGAAAGATAGATATATAATTAGGAAATAAAATAAAATGTGTGCAAGTTGCTAATATGGTCAGCAGGTATCTTCTTTTAGGTTATGTTAATAAGCAAGTTGAGATCAAAGTTGTCTTCTCAAGTGGGATTTTTATTATAATATACATATAAGTAGAGAGACCATGTTCCTATTCTTTTGGTGGGAGCTTGGTAGTTTGTGATAGGTATTTGTCGATCGAGTGTCTTGTGTTTTGTTCTAGCGTTGTTAGCGTCGATTCTAGGCAGTCTTACGATCCGTCCTCCTAATTTTTCAGCTTTTAGTTGTAATATTCAGTTAGGGGTTGCATCTTTGCACAGTTGTTCACTTTTAATAAACAATGGTTTGTTTAAATTGGATTGTTGATTGTAAAGCAATGGATCTTCAAATGGCAAAGAATTTGTGCGGGTGTTAGTGTTGCTCACCCAGTACCACTATCGTGTCCCATGACACATCTAGCTAGATGTGCCAGAGCACATTTGCACGCTTCCCCTTACTCCCCAAAACTCCCCAATACTAGAGAAATTTGGAGAGTGTAGTTCACATCCCCAATTTTCCTTTTTAATTGAAAAATGACATATTATATAAATTAAAATATCATTAATTACTTATATTAAAAAAATAAAATAAAAATACCAAAATTCATAATTTTTCATTATCTATAAATAAAGACCACATTTGATAGGTTTTTGAACACAACTAATTTTTCGTTTTTTCATAATTTTTCATAAATTTTCGTAATTATTTTATTATACTGACATATAATGCACATGTTACATAATAAAATGAATATGTTTTCAAATATGATGAACATGTTACAGATTGTAGATTGAAACAATACATATTCATCTTATTTTGTAACATGTTCACTTTATTGTGTATGTAACATGTTCATCTTATTCTATAACATGTTCATTATATTATGTAACATGTTCATCTTATTCTATAACATGTTATTTTATTATGTAACACGTTCATCTTATTTTAGAACATGTCCATCTAAATTTCATTTGTGAAAATGTAATAAATTCATCTTATTCTATGACATGATCATCTTACTCTATAACATGTTCATCTTACTATGTAACATATTCATCTAATTATAGATTTATGTCATAATCTTCCGATAAGATAAATTAATTGTAAAAAATGATAAATTAATTGTGTTTAAAAAAATATCAAATGTGGTCTCTATTTGTAGAGAATGAAAAATTATGAATTTTGTTATTTTTATTTTTATTTTTTGATACAAAATATGAATGATAATTTAATTTATATAATATGTCATATGAATTTCATTGTCCAATAGAATTGAGACACATGTCGCATTTAAAAAAAAATCCTTACCTACTTACTCCACGCACTTTTGGAGAAGGTGTATTTCACTAAAGGCTTTGGCACACCTAAGTATTTGCAGTTGCTCACCTCACAAAAAGCAAAGTGTTTAAAAAATCAACGTTAGTTGTCCTTTTCTTGAGCGTGGCTAGTGGGCCTGTGATGCGATTACGATTCCATATTTGGGCCTACTTAATTAATTAATGAATATAATTGTTTGGTTATCTACTTATCTTGTTCCCATACTGTTTTACTTTATTTAATTATTTAAAAAATAAATAAAAAAATCGCAGAACTTAGACTAAAAAAATAACAGTATTTAAATTAAATTGTAGATTAAATCCTTTTTTTTTTTTTGTTTGGCACTTTAATAGTTTGTTGACTGCATATTGCGATTTGTAAATATTATATGCTGGTACCTTTTATTGCAAAAAATTTAGAAAGTTGAGATAATATTGCTAAATGAAACAAAAAAAAATAAAATTTAATTTACAATTTGGCCTAATATATTTATATTGCAAATGAAACAAAAATCAAAATCTAGTTTACAATTTATTACACATATACACGAGCATGAGATCAGGGACGGATCCAAAAATTAAGAGTAGACTGGGCTAAAATTTTAAGTAATCATTTTCATAAAAATCATATAATATTTTTTCTTTAAATATGTACTGAAGTTGTGCTCAACGAACTTTTACATAATAAAATTCATCAACAATCAAATCTATACTTATACTATTAGTAAACTCCCGTTCGACGAGCTTTTTGGCCTAAGGTTGTTGCTTCATGTGAAAGGAGCAAAAGTCACGGTTCCGGCACGTTGATCGCTAGTCTCCAAGCGCTCCTATCCACCGCTAAATCCTTGGAGATATTCCAATCTTTAAGGTCTCTCTGAACCGACTCTTCCCAAGTGAGTTTAGGTCGACCTCTCCCTCTCTTAACAACATCGACCCGCTGTAGAACTCCCCTGCGCACCGGTGCATCAGGAGGCCTCCGTTGGACATGTCCGAACCACTCAGCCGATGTTGAACCAATTTCTCCTCAATTGGGGCCACCCCGACCCTATCACGAATATCCTCATTTCGGATTCTATCTCTTCATGTGAATTTTTGAAAATTTCACAAGCCAAATATGTCCATTTATTTAAGCCAAACATGAGTTGAAATATATATATTTTTTTAATTGATCATTTTCACATTGTGTACCATGAATAACCATTCAAAAATGAACCTACAACAAATAAAAATTATCTACCAAAAGTGCAAAATATGTAAAAAGAAATCCCCCATAGCAAACTAAAATTAAGAAATCCCTTCATATTTCTTTTCTCCTATCCAGAGTACAGACTAAGCACTCAATCCAGCAAACTAGAATTAAGAAATCCCTTCAAATTTCTTTTTTTCTCTCCAGACCAAGCACTCAATAGTCAATCCAGGATCTCACACAATAATCAAACCTCATAACACCCTTTTTTTCTCCATTTATAAACAGACAAGTGTCACATGAATAAAACTAAGACAACTATCGTACAAATTTACAAAACATGACAACAAAAGAGACGAAAAATCAGGTAACGTACAAAATTATAGCAATATATAAACAAAAGCGCACAAAAAACAATTATTAGTCAATTAGGTATGGCAATTGATGCTTACCAGCCCACCAATTTGGACGAGTTTTTGAAACAAAGAAAATGAGAAGATGAAAAAGAAAGAGAATAGGGAGAAAAGATAAATTATGGTTATTGAAAAAGATAGAGACGTCATTTATGTAAAAGAAAATCTGACGAAAGATTTGAATTGGAACCGTCAATTTAGAAAAGACGTAAAAAAATAAAAGATAATGTACAAGAAACAAAATATTAGATATAAAAATAAAAGATAAAAAATGATATGTTAAAATATAAATAGTTTATATATACATGTATATCACGCCATTATTTCTAATGCCATTTGGACAATTGGGTTTGAGTATTTTAATTGGGCTGGGCTAGGGATTTAAGAAGAAAGAAAAATTCAAAGTAATTAATGGTTAAAGCAAGTAACAGGCCTGGGCTTCAGCCCAGCCCAGGCCTAATGTAAGTCCGTCCATGCATGAGATCACATGAAATTTTTTATTTAAGGCCGTGTTGTTATGGTGGATTTTGAAGAGAAGAGGTAAACATGTTCCTTCGATGTATGACGAACAGGCAAAAGGATCATCAGGCAAAAGGCCTATCCGTGATTCTGAGTGAAACCGTGCTTCCAACTGAACTCGACCAAGTTAGCACACAAGGTGTGCTTGCTTTTAAATTTTTTCATTTTATAATTTTTTAAAATGAACAGTCTATTTTCTACAATATTTCAATCTAACACTTGGTTCAACTGTTCCATTTTGGGCCTACAGAGTGGTATGAAGACAACAATGCATTGGATCTGATAAATGAGAGGATATCAAATTCAAGCCCAAGCTCTAGGCCTGATATCACGAGATGCCTGCACATTGGGTTATTGTGAGTCCAAGAATCCCCTGCTAACAGGCCCACCATATCAACCGTGCTCTCGATGCAAGAGGTAGAGACACCACTGAATAGTTGTAACAAATGAGAAAATCCATATTTTTACAATGATATGTCAATGGTTTGAAAAGACTAAACATAAAACAGTCTGTTAAATATTGGTCAAGATAGACATTTTGAATATGAAAATACATATTTATGTTCAAAATGTACGATTAAATTTACTTGGCTAGTCGGCTAACCAATTTTTATTTGGTAGGCCGAGTGACAACATGAAGGTAGTCTACTCGGTTGAAAGTATGAAATGGGAGAATTTTCCAGCTCTTCAATGGTGTGGTTCAGTCTTACCGCGCGCCGCATGCAATTTATATCAGTAAAGAGTAAAGACAAAGATAGGGAAGATTCGAACCTATCGACAACTACAGTGCAGTCACCGAGTTTTTTCATCGTCCAATCAATACACAAACATATATACCTAGTTACCTTGTAAGTGTGTGTTGACACGTTTGTCGAGAGGCAGTTTTACTTTATTTGCGTAGTTTGATAATTGTGCACTTATGCAAGCAAACTATCAATCAATGATTTGATACCATAAATTAATTTATATTCTTTATATTTATCTAAAAATATCGATTGAGAAAACACGACTATCTAAACCTGACTAAAACCTTGGTAACTATGTCTGTGTGAATGAACGAGAACGGAGGACAGTGACCTTTGGCCTTTGGGTCTCAAGTCAACAAAGCTTTCCCTACACCGTTCAACTTTTACCGGCGGTGGCTGTGACAACCGATCCATATCAACGATACCGGCCACAGACCTTCATCTCCCTTATGTGTCTCTCTCTACCTCCATTCATTTTCAACCGCTCACAAACAAAATCAAGAAACAAAAAATAATGCAGATCTTTTATATCGAAAATGGTGGCTCTACTCTCCCCAGCTTGAGACCGAGCTTCCTGCAATAATCTAATCCTCGCGCCAGATCATGATACGAGCTGAAAATCTCATCCCCACCGTCCAATTCGCCGCCGTATTCTTTTACCTTTTATGCCCTAATTTCAGCTCGGCACAGGGCAACACTTCATCCGGCAACCCGTGCGATTCGTACGGCGTATGCGGCGCCTTCGGCTTCTGTAACCCGCAGAGCTCCCCGATTTGCTCGTGTCTGCCGGGGTTTTACCCGCGTACCCTGGCGGAGTGGGATTCGGGTAATTGGACCAGCGGGTGCGTCAGGCGGGCCCGGCTGAACTGCAACGGAACGGCTGATGGCGGAAGGGAGGACAGGTTTTTGAGGCTCCCGAGGATGAAGATGTCCGGCTACTCGGACCGGTGGCCGGGCACGGAGGACCAGTGCGGAGGTCGGTGCTTGAGTAACTGCTCGTGCATAGCTTTTGGTTTTGATGTTGGGATTAGGTGCATGTTCTGGAGCACTGGGACCTTGATCGACATCCAGAAGTTTCCGAACGGGCCGGGCGGGTCTGATCTTCATATTCGAGTTGCAAATTCTGAATTGGGCAAGTTTTTCCTTACATTTTTAATCATTCTTATGATTTCTGTAGCTCTGGCATTCGGAGCAATTACATTACAGTAACTGTGAGATGAATGATGTGTTTAAAGGCCATTTTTTACTTGGTTTTATGGTAGAATATCTGACAGGAGGAATGTTAGTGACTTGTGAGGAGATTAAATATCATGTTCATGTGGTGTCTAACTATAGTTCTTCTTTGCTGCAGGTGGTAAAAAGGACAATAAGATGACTGTGATAGTTGTGGTTGTTTTGGTTGGCTTTGTTATTGTTGTGTCCGTGTGCGCATTTTTTATTTGGAAATGGAGGGCTAAGCGTAGAGGTAATGCATATACTTGTATGAGCAACACTAGATTTAGTAAACTCTGCATTTTTCTCCTTTTAATCCGCTTAGTATACGTTTGGTTGTCGCGAATTAGCCAGAAGAAGAGCAAGTGAATCTGCAGAGGCAGGTGAATCCAGTTCGCTCGGTTACTCTCTCCACGACAAAATGCGCCGCCAAGTCAATCTTGAAGAATTACCATTGTTCAAATTCGAAACACTTGCAAATGCAACCAACTTCTTCTCGGAAGCTAACAAGCTGGGGAAAGGTGGTTTCGGCCCTGTTTACAGAGTAAATCCCTCGTGCTTTATTCATTTCGTTTGATCTTAATCTTGAATTTGAAGCTCGTTGAATGCAAAAAGACTGAAAATGCAGTAAATTTATAGGGAAAACTGGCAAATGGGAGAGAAATTGCGGTTAAGCGGCTCTCGAAAGCATCCGGGCAAGGTATACAGGAATTCATGAATGAAGTAGGACTGATTTCGAAGCTTCAGCACAGGAATCTTGTGAGGCTACTCGGAGGCTGCATCGAGAATAAAGAGACGATGTTGATATATGAGTATATGCCTAATAGAAGCTTGGACATTTTCCTATTTGGTCAGAGTTTTTTTTTTCCTTCATATTATCATTTTTCATTTCGGATTGTACAAGTAAATGATCTCCCGTGTGATTTTACAGATCCATCTATAAATATCCTGGACTGGAGAACGCGTTTCAACATTATTGAGGGTATATGTCGGGGCCTCCTTTATCTTCACAGGGATTCAAGATTGAAGATAATCCATAGGGATCTAAAGCCTAGTAATATATTGTTGGATCATGATTTGAATCCAAAGATTTCAGATTTTGGGATGGCAAGAATATTTGGAACCAAACAAGATCATGTCAGCACTGTGAGAGTCGTTGGAACCTAGTAAGTGTACATATTTCATACATTTTCGTGTATAATCAAAGATGTCTAAGCTAATTATATGATTTTTTTTTTTTTGGGAAATTTTGTTTTTGCAGTGGATACATGGCTCCAGAGTACGCGATGGAAGGAAGATTTTCAGAAAAATCTGACGTTTTTAGTTTAGGAGTTCTGATAATCGAGATTATCACCGGGAGAAGGAACACGAGTCCCCAAAGTCAGCAAGGATCTGTGAACCTTTTGGGACATGTGAGTCAACTAAAAACCTCAATTTTTTGCCATTGCTGTGAAAATATCAAATCAAAAGCTAAAATCAGAAACATAAAGCACTAAAAGTTACCATTTTTCTCAGCCAAATGCAAAAGTCACATTTTTATTATTCCTTTTTGAATTTGTGATATTGGAACTTTTTCAGGTGTGGAAATTGTGGAATGAAGGCAATAGTGCGGCTTTCATCGATCCGAGAATATATAACAAAAATTACGAATCGGAGGTCATGAGGTGCGTGCACATAGGGTTATTGTGTGCCCAAGAATCTCCTAAAGACAGGCCATCTGTTTCTGTTGTGCTGTCCATGTTAATAAGCGAGACTATGGATCTTCCCGAGCCAAAGGTCCCGGCTTTTAGCATTAAATCGAGCCGTACGGAAACAGGCACGAGCTCTTCACAACAGAGCCAAAAGAGTAATAGCTCTGTGAATAATCTTTCAATAACCATGGTCGATGGACGCTGATGATACAGAGAATGTTAGTGTATTTATGCCATGCTAAATAGAAAATTAGAAGTTTCTTCTCATATACGTACAAATATATATAGGTTTGAACTAGTTTTTCATTTTTTTTTTTTTTCCCTTACATACTAACTATTAAGTAAATTGATCTCGTATTTTGTAACAAAATATGCATGTTTATATTGTGAAATGTTGTAATTTTATTTATATTGTCTTTTATACAAGGATATTTCATTTTAAAACAATGATATTTCATTTTGAATGTATACAAATCTGTTAAAAATGTATTATCGTCTAACTGACATGTCTCTCTAACAATAGCTTTATCTTTAAGAAAAATATATTATTTACTCTCTTTTTTTTTATATTTATTACTATTTTTGAATTGGAGCTATTTTATAAGAAGTCTGAAATCCAAGGATAATAATTGAGTTCAATAATAGAATAACAAGGCTTGTCTATTTAGATTAAAAACAGTACCTTTATATTTAAATTTAGTTGTTAAAATTTGCAGCTGAACTTGAACCATATTGAGCATCAAATGGAGTCGAGCTCGAGTATTTTTTTTTTTT